TAACCCTAACCCTAACCCTAACCCTAACCCTAACCCTAACCCTAACCCTAACCCTAACCCTAACCCTAACCCTAACCCTAACCCTAACCCTAACCCGGAGTAGGGGGAATGTCCCCGAGTTGATTGGTCGTTTCAAACGATTTACCGTCTATCGTTTGCCGCATTCTTGATAGGCACTGTTTTCGCCTGATTCGGCTCGGATATTTCTACGTCTTTTTGGCCCTATAGGCTAATCTCGATACCCCCATCGGTCCTTTCTAAATGCAAGATATTCGGACCCGATTTCGTGCTACTCGAACCTCCTGCACGATACCCCGAGATTTGATATGGTCGTGCCAAGGCGCACGTGATATTCGAAATGAAAGCCTTTACCTGAAGAGGGCTAGCGCGACGTCGAGCCCGCAAAGGGCGCGGCTAGGTGCGTTGCCGCGGGACCGTCAGGATAGGGAGTAGGACATTGTATTCATGACAGTAGGCTACGGAAAATAACAGCCAGAACTCAGGACTTATGTGTCCACGTTGAAGAAACCTACCTGGCCTATCCCGCCAATCAATCTCTAATGAATCATGTGCCGAGAGTTGAGAGTTTTTATGACAAGTTCCTGCCGAGGAATATAACTTCCATGGATTGCGGGGAAGGCGCTTGACGGCACTCCATTTCCAGAACAAGCTAAGCACGAAGAAAGCTACATCCAACGAGTTCTTAAGATCAACTAGTACTCCCGTGTGATACAAGTCTGTTTGCCTTCTCCCTCCATCCTCCCTGTGCTTCCCACCCGTCTCGCATTATGGCTCATTCAGCCATTCCTCTTCCACAATCTGAGAAGACTGATCCAGTCGATGTTGAAAGAATCGATGTCGTGCGTGATGATTCTCTACCTGTCGGACATCCTTCCACTCATGTGCATCATGATACTCGGGTTGCTGATGATGAGCCAGCGGCTGCTGAGAACACCACATTGAGGACGTGGGCTGCAATATTTGTGAGTGCGATGCAAGCACCCTGACGTACAACTCTGACACCTTCTGCAGATTCTTTCATCTTCGGTCGGTATATCTTTTTGGCCGGTACCCACAACGTGTACGCACTCTAGTCCACTTCTCCCCCGTCCCTATTCACAGGATACTTCGACACATCATTTACTGATCAGCAGTGTAGCGCCCATGCTTGCTACTCTAGGAGCGCAGTTTGGTAATCCTGGCTCAAGTGCATGGTTTCTATCTTCATTTACTACAGGTTGGAATCCATGATATCTTTATACTCTAGATGTACTAATTGTTCTGAAGGCTGCGCTCTTGGGTTTTTACTTTCAGGAACAACTAGTGATCTCTTTGGCCGTCGGATCATTATTCTCATCGGGAACGTGCTCTCGGCATTGGGCTCAATTCTCTGCGCTACTTCGCATGGCTACCGCCAGTTTACCGCGGGCATGGCTATTCTTGGTTTCGCATCTGGTCCGAGTCAGCTAGGTCTGATTGGTGTACCCGAACTTTTACCAAACAAATACCGCCATATTGGAATTGTTCTGTCTGACGCCGTACTTTACCCTATCCTGATATGCGCTCCCATTATTGGACGATATGCGATCAAAGACCCTACGAGTCGGGATTGGACCTACATTTACTATGCCAGTTTCATCGCAATGGTCCTTACTTTTGCTGGAGTCTTCTTCCTTTACAAACCACCTAAGCACCCACGAGGTGTCCCTTGGAGGGCCGCTTTTGCCGGTTTGGACTACGTTGGTGGGCTGTTAGTAACAAGTGGTGTGCTTTTGACGCTGATGGGAATCGTCTACACCACTTATTTGCCAGCTAAATCGGCGCTTGTCCTGGGTCCACTCTGCACAGGCATCTTTCTGCTCATCGTGTTTGGCATATGGGAGAACCTTTCCAGTGTGCCATACAAGCTGTGCCCACCAGCCATTTTCTCCTATCACTATGGTCGAGCATTTACAGTACCATTTATGTTCGGCGCGGTCATCACGATGTACTACTATGCTGCGAATATCATATGGCCAGTGAGTTCATCCGAGAATGGTGCGAGAATGATCTGCATTTACTGACTCGTGGCTAGACCATGATTTCCGTCTTCTATACCACAGCGTCATCATCGATCAACGATGCGCTCGTTCTCACGCTTCCCTCCAATCTCGCTTTGGTTGCCGGCGCTATCACCTTCGCATGCTTAGGACACAGAATCGGATACTGGAAGATAACGCTTATAATCTCCTTTGGACTGGCCGTGATCTTCGGCGGACTCATGGCGCTTGTCACACCCCACAACAAAGGACTCATGACTGCTCTGATTTTTCTCATGCAGTGTAAGTGAAAACCATTGAGATTGCTTAGCACGCTAATCCAGGTCTAGTCTTTTTTGGCTGGGCACAGTACGAAGCCGTTGCTTTCGTCCAGTTTGGTGTTGACCAACTTGACCTTGGCGCTTCAGGTGGTCTTGCAGGGGTCGCCCGCTTTGGCGGAGGCTCTCTCGCTGTCGCGGTCTACACATCCGTCTTGACAAACAGTCAAAGCAAGAAAGCTTTAGATATCGTCGTCAAAGCCGGTATGAAAAACGGTCTAACCGAAGCTGCTGCGGTTCAGCTGCTGTCCGCACTTTCCCTCGGCGCAGAGGCCATTTCGAAGGTGCCTGGAATCAACCCATCCGCGATCGCTGCTGCAGGCATAGCATTCCAAGAATCCTATGCATATGGGTGCAAAATGCTTGCGCTCGCAAGTTTGGGCTTTGGTGCATTTGGACTCTGCTTGTGCTTCTTGTGCGAGGACATCGGACCCAAGATGAACAACAAGACGAATGTGTTCTTGGAGAATGATGTGAACGCTACAAAGAACGAGTTTCACTAGCATTCGATGGCAGTATACTGATCTTTAGGGCCGATAAGACAGGGCCGGTCCGAGAGGAGAAAGATCAACACGAGTAAATATCTGCAACCACTTGTTATGTCCAAGCGACGGCGAAGAGGAGGAGTGGGGGACAAAGCGAGGTCCTTGAACGATGCAGGAGAACAAGTTGAGAAAGTGGACGCATCGTGGGAGGTGATGGTTGTGGAATTTGGATCAGTTTCCTGACAAATCTGTGCTGTAGCGAAAACCGCGAATGTCTTGAGTCTTGGCAAGCGTCCTGCTCGATTTAATCCGCGGTGCCAGTAACACATATTTGGGTAGGAACAGTAGATTGAGTCCAGAGCGCCCTGCTTCGTAGCAGGAGAGGCATCACTGTACTTGACTGGACATTGTTTTCGAACTCTTTTTTGCCTTTCGTTGAGAAGACTTCGCGTTCAGCTCCTCACAGGATAGATTGTACATGATCTGTGGCTGGCCTTTCAGATCGAGTGGGAGAATGTGTAAACTCATCATTGGAAAAGTATTACTGTAATCAACGTCCCAGCGTTGTGAAACGCCCTGGACTAAATTGGCGGATACTACCACGTTTCTACTCTGCTCTCACATATGAGTGTCAATATCAGTGGCATAGCTCTTCGAATAGATATATCTAGGGTGGCTCATAGTCGCTTAGGAGGTGAATATATGAAGAACGACAGCCCCAGCCACACTTAAATGGCTTATCACAATCAGTATGCTTGTGGGACACCGTGTCCAGATATTGTTATTGCGTCCATCAAGTGTTCATAGTACTTGACTCAGATATCCATCACAGAAATTGCTTTTAGATAGTTAGCCACCAATGAAGATACCGTCAAATCCATTGCACAGAATAGAGCTAAGCCCCTGCTTCTGGAGCACCATTCGCTGCTGTGAACTTACTCGTGTTACACATGGCGCGTGTAATAAAAGTCGCTGCAGCATGCGAGTTGCGGTTCTCCTCGTCGAGCAGATTTCCTTTTCCCTCTCAAGGGTACTTATGGCAATTTAGCCAGGTCAAATGTATCTCGCGAATCTCGAAATTACTCGCGGAAATCGTTTTCCGTTGGTGCCATGTTGTTGACATCTACGGAGAGTCGTCTGGATGGACGGCGTGACGTGAGATAGAACCCCAGAACCCCAGAACCCCAATTCGAAGGGAACGCACGGGTGCAGGTGCCAGGGAAGGTTCAAGGGTCGAGGCCCGAGGGATTCAAAGCGGCCAGGCAGCGGTGGCTGAAGACTGAGGTGGGTATCGTTTTCCATACGGAGTAAATTAGTTCAGGTCATTCTCTTGGCGCCGGATATCTCTGAGGCCGGTCCTCTTTTCCAGGACTGGGACCTACTATATTGGGAATGGCCCATAACTCGAAACCTCCGATTTACGACTTCTATTCTCTTCTCAAAGCAACACTCAACGTAGCTAGTAACCATAAATACCAAGTTGTGAAGCTTGCAGCCATCGCGAATATGCCTTGCGGAGATCTTGCATTAACCAACAGCGTGGTGCTAATTACTGGTGGAGGTTCTGGGATCAACTTTGCCTTCTCCAAACTAGTATTCGAAGCAGGGGCAAAAATTCTCATAGCAGATCTCACCCTCACCGAGGACGCCAGAAAGTTCGTGGCTTCAGTGCCGTCCGAAAAGGTTACTTTTGTGAAATGTGACGTAACAAGACGGGCGGATCTGGAAAATCTGATCAAAGCTTCTCGAGACACCTTCGGTACAGTTCCTGACGTATACGTAGCTGGTGCTGGTGTGTTTGAGCCCGTGAGTTCGAGATTTCTGCCATCACGGATTTGCTACTGAAGATTAGGCAGGATTGGTCGACATGGTGGGACGACACAGAAGATGATGGATATAAGCAACTCGATATCAACGCAACTCACCCCATGAAGCTTACGCGGATTGCTACCAAAGCATTGCTTTCAGAGCAAAAAAAGGGAGTGATATTGATCCTGGCCTCGCTAGCAGGATTCCTAGGCACCTTTTCGGCTCCGTGTGTTGAATACGTTCCACTTGAGGTTGAAATTGAGGATACTAACGAACCCATAGATTATACTGCGCTTCGAAGCATGCAGTGATTGGCTTCGTCCGTTCGATGGCCGACCTCGACTGTTACGCAAATATCAGGGTTCACGCTATAGCACCGGGGTATATATACAAGTACGGCTTCGAGATGACAAGAGCTGATCAATTCCAGTATGGTGCAGACTCCTTTATGGTTGAACAACCCCGAAAAGATGAGCCGGTTTGGCTATGACCCGAAGACGGCTGTCACCGCAGAGACCGTTGCAAAGGCAATGATAGACACAGTTATCAACGGTAAATACCAGGGAGGCGAATCTGTCGAAATCACAGTCAGCGGAACCCGTGTTTTGGGAACGTGGAATCTGGATCCACCGTCGTCGAGTGGTACTAGTGTGCCCCAAGAGGTCATAGACAAAAATCATGCGCCTCTCATGGCCATTCTTGATAAAGAAAGAGGTCCGCTGAAAAGATAGAGCCAAAATAGTAGGGTGGTGATCCATTGTTGGCAGATCCTCCTTGGTCTATGCATACCAGCGACTGAGAAATCTGGGATTTCAGAGCCAAGTAGATAATCACGATATCCGTCCTTCAAGTGTGTTTTCCGAACAGCGTTCATGCCAAAACTTATGATTTTGGTTGAGCTGCTTACATAACCTGGGGATGTATGCTTTTGTTCGGTGGACTCCTGGCTCTAGTAACGCCGCACAACAGAGGCCTCATAATCGCCTTCAATGTTGTGGAGCAGACCTTCTTTGGATGAACGCAATATGCATCAAACAGCTTCACAATCTCCGGGGTCTACCAGCATGACCTAAGACTTGCAGGTAGGCTGTCTAGAATGGCTCGGTATGCTGGTGGATCTCCGGCCCAAGTCATGTACACAATCATCTTGACCAATGTTCAAGCCAACCGCGCTGCCGCCACTGTGCCTTAGGCTGCGATAGCTGCAGATCGTCCAACAGCCGGTGCGGCCAAAATTCTGGCAACCTTTCTCCTGGGCACAGCGGCACTCGAGAAGCTGTCCGGCATGAGCACAGAGGCTCTTGTGGCCGCAAGCAACGCATTCCAGTGTCCTATAAGCATGCTCTCTCGGCCGTCTCCATGCGTCACTGTCCCCTGGTGGGCTGGGCTTGATCATGTGCTTCCTTTGCCTGGACATTGAGGAGTACCATTCTCAATTCGATCTTTCGAGCTACAAATCCCCCTCAGACACGCCAGCACTTCCTCCAATCTGAGGAATTGAGCCCCCAAAGATCAAGTTGTCATGGCCGACCATTACTTTAATCGGCATAGCCATGAAATGGACAGCATCAGCTAGTAAGACGGGAAGGTCAGCTATTGTGGGAGTGAAATCTTTGTGCTTCGCGTGCCAACTCACGGTTCATTGCTGTAGCATACTCGGGGCTCGTGTAGAATCGCATCCAATCGTCCCATGATTTCACGTAGATGTCAGAGCATCCATCGTATTCGAGCTGAGCAAGGCCCAGTTCCTTCGCTTTTTCTTTTAGCTCTGGCATTTGATGAAACTGGAATAGTGTTTAGATGAGATATGCAACAGCTTTGATTAGAGAATAGTAAAGATACCTGAACATATCTGCCTATATGACAATCCTTGAATGCCTTACTCGCGACCGTGAGGTCCGCATGAACAGTGTCCCAGTGTCGATGAAATTGCTCATAGCTAACGTTGGGAAGTTTGCTGAAATAAAACGAGAGACGAATATACGGCTGATAGTTCGGTTTTGCATCGTAAGAGAGCTGATGGTGTGTGAACGTGTGATCTATCTTTTTCAGCGTCATCATAGGCAAGAATAGATGGTTCTGCAACGACTATCTGGAGGTCGACTTCGATTATTTTTGTATCAGCATCAAGATAGCTGCTAGTCGGAGGCTGCATGGACCAGCATGTTCGTGTTTGAAACACATGTGTCCAGAATCCGAGGAAGAGGAGCCCGACTTGTTCGCACGAGTATGTAAGGGCAGCAGGAAGAGTGCCAGAGCATGTCCGAGCGTTTTTACGTAGCTGTGGGGGCCTCCCTAGCCTGGCTGGTACGTCGCTTTTAAGTCATGCGACCCCGCCTCATCCCAGAATGCGAGTCATGAACAGCGCTGACCCTTGAGGACTTTGCAAGGCGGTTTGACTCCTTGCAGATTGAATAGGGGCAACTATTGAGAGTGCAAGTTCGTTCTGTACAAATGTACAGCATATTCCAGCACCTCAAGAGAGGAAGCACGGCTAGAAGAACGAAGTCAGATCCGGACTGGCTCCCTCGAGCGTCAGAAATCGGGTATAGGGCGGTTGTCGTATGAAAGCCGTATCTGACGATCTAATAGAAGTAGTGGGGACCGATCCAGACCTCTCTTCCTTGTCGTTGCTTCCACTTCCGAGTGCATCGCCCTGGATCGCAAAGGTCAGCAACAAGGTTTTGCAGAGAAGTAATACCTTGACACCTTATCTACTCTGGGCGGCCTGTTTTACGTTGCGTGTGAACGGGACATTGCTGCTGTACTTCACCAAAGTATCAGACCGAGGTTTGTCCACCCCAGGCATACCGAGCCCAGGAGAGCGCCCTCGACTTCGCTTATAGCTGGATATGGTTTGACCCAAAGCCCTCGGCTTTCAACAACTATTGACCCGATTCTCGGGCTTTGCACAAAGATGTCAATGTCAAGCAAGCGTTCACAAAAATGGTTGGAGTGCCGGAGATCACAAGGTTGGTCAGACACCCTCTGTTCCCTGTGTCCTTTTTCCCGATCGGGGTAGGACTTCGGTCGATCAACCTGCCACGATACTACTGCAGGAGCATCTGGAACGGGCGATCCTCGGTCGGACTCGATCCTCGGAAAGGGGCCCCCCTCCCCAACAAGCATGTCCTAATGCTTCCCAAGGGCACACTCGTCTACGTCGTTTTGACATGAACTCGCAATTTGTGAGCTTAAGCATCATAAGAGCACGCGGAGAAATAGGATCGAGAGACCGTGAACGGGTGAAGCTCCCTCTTACTTAGCCATAATATGATTAAATGGTTCATGTTAAGAGCCTAAGTAGTCTACAGCCTATAGATCATTCACTACTATAGCCTAGAACATTTTGTCGTTACTCCACGCTATAGGCGTCCGGAAATGGTAGTCTTTCTGAATCACCTTCACGGCTTTACCTATAATAAAGCCAAACCTTTGTGCAATAATTTCCATTCGAACTAGCTCCAGATGACACCCTGTTCAACCGCCTCCCACAAAACCTTTGCAGCGCATAGTGCCATATCGCTTTTCCTGCTCAGTAGCCATAGCGCTTGAATACAATCATTCAACCGACCCCCTGTCTCTGCCATATTATAGATTTCCACCATGGGCTCGGGACCTCGATACGGTAGCACCAACTTAAGGAGGTGCTCTCCTGCATACGCAAAAGAGCGTATAAGCACCACTATCCATGGTTCCGTAAGTAATGCCGCCTTATTCACGGTATGATAAAAGCATAGGGACTATGAGAAGGACATGCCCTCGTTATTGCGAAAATGAGAACAACGACCAAGGTCGGATACCGTGAATGCTGAACGGAGTCGTAGAGTTACTACAAAATCTATAGTCTACCTAGCTGTTCGATTTACTAGTAAGCTTATATTAAGATCGTTTATCTTCTCTATCGGTAAGTAAGAAGATAGCTAGATACTAGTGGCTTACCAGAAGTATATACCACGATTAAATGCGGGCTAGTAGATTCTTATACTAAGCAATACAATCGGCGATAAAAAGTCCGTAGGTACTCTTCCAATGATTATATACCTCTAGTATAGCGGTAATAGCCGTTTCGATATCCTCGGCGAGCGCCCGCTAATAGAAAAGATCTTGGAGATACCCAAGTCTACGGAATACTAGTACCTCGATAGGGGCTATATTCGCAAGGCATATCGTAGCGTTATTATAAGAGCACGGCTAACGCACCGTCTGCTTACGCATTTCTTTAATTCGAGATTATTAGCGTAGAAAATAGTTACTCTATATCTACGACTTCTTAATAACGTCTATATCGGTTATACTATAAAAGCCTATAAAAGTATCTAAGTTATAGATAGTTACCTAATTATACGGCGAAACCCTTAAGCGAGGCTCGTCGTTATCAATACGGGTCTTACGGTCGTCTAACGTAAAGAAGTAACGATTTATAGCTACTAATATAGTGTCGAATATAATGGCTAACTAAAAGATAAGCTTAAATATTTTTTTGTTCTATTCGGCCAAGATAATAGAAGTATCTTATATCGACGAATTATTAAGATATAAGTATTTAGTATCTTTAAGTCTTCTTCGATAGTTATATAATTTATGGATAGCGATATCGAGAAAGATTAGCCTATTATTATTATTAAGGATCTTTCTTAACGAGACTAAATTATTACTATACTATTTCTTTTAGTTAACTAAGCCTTTTATAGACTTTATTAAATATTAGGTAAGAGAAAATATAATGTTTACGAAAATAACTTTAAAGGATAAATTACTAGAAGCTTACCTTAAAGCTAAGTTAGCTTTATACTATAGTGTCTTCTATATATTACGTCTAAAAGCTCTATATTCGAGTAGTTACGCGCTTAGATTCTTTTATTTACTATATATAGTCTAAGCTTATTATACGGTAAAGACTATAATTATAAGACTAAGAACCTTTAATAACTACTTCTAGTCACTCTTAGAAATAAGCCCTAGACTTAAGTAGATCTTATCTAGAGTATATAATCGAGCTACTATCTTATTAGACTAATATAAACTCTATATATCGCTTTTATTAATAAAAGTACTAGAGGCGTAGAGATAGTTTCTTTTAATTACTTAATAGCTTAATACGCCCTCGAGGGAATTATAGTAAATCTTTAGTAAACTCTTCTTAATATTATACCGATTATAGGCTTTTATTAAGCTACCTAAACTAAGTAACGATATACTTATATTGACCGAATAGTTAAAGTAGCGTATCGGAGATCGTCGTCGTTAGTATATTATTAAGTCGTACTCTTCCTTATCGATAAGTAACTCGAGATTAGTTATTCGTAGATCCTAGCCGCTCGGCTCCTAGAAGTTTACTAATGAGAAGACTATATACTAGTAATATATTCCTAGCCACTAATAGGTAAAAGTCTAGTAGTTGAAAACTCGTTAAGATCAGACGAAGAATAGCGAAAATCCTTTTAACTTATTAACTTATTAGAAAGAGCTTCTTACGACGATTCTAACTATATTATTTTTATTATGACTTCTCTTATTAATTAAAAGATTATTCGTAGTTAAAGTCGATATCTTTTCTCGATTTTAAGGTAAATAATTATTATATATAGAATCTTATAATTTATTCCGTAAGTAGCTTAATACTTTATAATTCTTAACTAAAACAAAATAGCTACCTATACGATATATAATTATTTTCGCTAAGCTCTTTTTAATTTTTCTATAAGTTATATTCCGTTTATATTTATATCGGCTTCTATTCCCTAAATTAAAGTCGATCTAAGTTCGATAATATTGAAGAACGTAGGTATAGGAAATATTCTCTTTATTATCGAACTTAGATCGACTTTAATTTTTACGATAGACTCTATAAAGCGTAGAAGATTACTCTCGTATAATACTAATGATTTTATTAATCGTCGACGCGAGTAAAATCGTAAATACTAGGCCGTATATTAAGCGCGTAAATATATCGAATAGTAACCTTAGAATCGTCCTATTTAGAAATAACTATAATAGGGAGAAAGAATTATTTAATTTAGTGTCGGCGATAAAGAGATCTTATCGACCTTAGTAGTACTTAGACTTCGTATTTAGGACCTTACTATCGATTAAGATATAATCAACGTATAGGCCTAATAAGCTACGACTAAAGTTCCTTATAATAAAGCTATTTACGACGAAGGTACTTATAAGAATATTAATATTATTAATAATATCCTTCCTTTATAGCTTATCGAAGAAGTCTTTACTCGATTACCTTTAACGAGATTATCTTTTATAATAGTATACGTCGTTATACTTATTATAGTAGTACTTATTATAGTAGTACTTATTATAGTAGTATCTATTATAGTAGTACCTATCGTAGTAGTACTTATCGTAGTAGTATTTATCGTAGTAGTACTTATCGTAGTAGTACTTATCGTAATAGTATCTATCGTAGTAGTACTTATCGTAGTAGTCTCGATTATAGCTCTTATTATAGTTCTCTTTATCGTAACTCTATTTATAGTAGTACGCGTAGTACCTTTCACTATAATAGTAGCGATTACCTAGCGAACAATATCTAGTTAATCGAGATCGTCTATATTAAGGCTTAGTAAATTAAGTTCTTTCGCGTTAAAGTTAAGCGTAGTAAGGTTCTTCTCTTAACGATTATCTTTTAACGAAGATATTACTCGATTTTTCTAGCGTTAAATTAGGCGTAACTCGTTTATTTCTTCTCCTCGTAGTCCTTTATTACTATTACCTCTAGATTTCGCGTAGCTATATTAATCTCGTAGTCTCGATCGTTTATTCCTATTCTAACTACTACCTTTTATATCCTTTAATACGTAACTAAGAGACTTCGAGCCGTTAGCTAATGAAACTAAACTTAAGTTTAGCTTAAATAGTTTTCCCCTTATAAATAGTACGAGCTATATTAGCCCTTCGATCTAAAATTCCTCTTCGTAAAGTATATTACTAGAAGAGCTAGAATATTAAGAGTAAGAATATTAAGAGTAGAAATATTAAGAGTCGAAATATTAAGAGCCGAAATATTAAGAGCCGAAATATTAAGAGCCGAAATATTAAGAGTAAGAATATAACTTTAAAATAGTAGATATTTTAAACTATAGAATAAATCTATTTAATCGAGATTAATAGCGCTCTATTAATACTTCTTCTTACGGCTACTATAAGTCTCCCTAGGCGGACGACGAAGCCGAAGAGTTAAGAGAGGAGTTCGAGTTAAAGTATAAAGAATTACCTATAGAGAAGCTTAACTATATATAGTATACGGTAGAAAGACTATTCTAGTAACTTTAGAAGGGCTTCTATAATTACTCGCTTAATACGTATACTACTAAGCTTTAGGAGTATATAAATATAATATACGGTACTTACGATAAACTTAATAATATCTTCCTAGCTAATATTAACTTTCTTAGTATTCTCTCGTAACTTAATATCCTATTATTAATGTAGCTCGCTAATTCGTATATCTCTTCGTCGTCTTAATAGAATTCTAAGTTCTATAGTATACGTTTAGAATATATTACTAAAAGGCGCTATCGGTATCGTACTCGGCCCTAACGCGTTTATTTATATACGAAGGAGACTTAAGAGGTTAGCCTTAATATTACCTTCGATATCGATAGCTTTCTCGATTTCGCGAGCTTTATCTTTATTACTTAATAAGGGCTTTTTTACTAACTCGCCGCGTAAATAAAGCAAAATATTATAACTAATATTTACTTAATAAGTATTATCTTTAATACTCTACTACGAGATAAGGTTACTATACTATAAAATATTCTATACTTTCTTCTAAGTCGAATTTATAGTGCTAATAGTATAACGATATATATCTTATTCTCTTATCTCCCTATAAAGAGCGATAAGTTTATTAATTTTAGTTAAGATTAACTCACTAAATAGCTAGACGATATCTTTTACTTAGTAATCTTTAAGTATACTCTCGCTTATATTACTTAATATCTTACTACTAACTATTAATAGACGCTTACTAATTCTAGGGCTTATTAAATTAAGGGTCGTCGAGCGGAAACTATTAGCTACTAGATATAGTAAATTATCGAATATTATCTTTAGCTAAAGTATTTACTTACTATCTAGAATATAATGCTTTAAAAAACGTAAGGATCGAGTCTATAATAGTTTCGGGAGCCCTAGCTATTCTTCTTCGCGAAAGAAACTAAACTTTAGTTTAAGACTAATACTTAACGATCGATAATATTTAATAGTATAGAGTACTTTTAAATATAGCTAAATCTTAACTTAGATATATAGTTTATCAATATAAATCGCCTTTACGTCGATATCGATAAGAAAATCCCTCTCTTTCTTTTTACTTCTTATTCTTAATCTCCTTATCCTCTCTTAATTCTTACTTTACTCGAGATTCTTTATCTCGTATCTTTCGAATTAAGTTAGGAGCTTAATATATTATATTATTCTTATCGCTACTCGATATTTCTTTTTCGTATTTAAGAGTATCGTTAACGAGAGTATACGCCCCTTATCTAAATTATTCCTAAAGTACTCTTTTCGTAGTTCTCTCTACGTCGAGTACTTTAGTAGAATATACTATATTATTTTTAGTTTCTAGTTACTATAGGACTTATACTAAAGATTCTTAACTCTAGAGATCTTTCTATTAAATAGAAAGGTCTTAAACTCGTTAGGCTTCATTCGTAACTATATAACTAGCGAGAATTATAATCTCTTAAGTTAATAATAAAGAGCT